ACGGACGAACCTGGACTGTGATGAGCCGCAGGACCGATGCAAGTGCCTTCCCACTAACGTAGTTCGATAGTTGTCGAAGGCAGGCCGCCAACACAAGGAGCCGCGGTCGTGGAAGATCCCTAGCACCGCTTACAGTGCTGAGAAGGAGGAGTTTGAAGCGATCGTCTTGGAGCCATGCCGGTTCATCAGCTTTAGAGGAGTACGCAAAAGGCGATGAAGAGATTGGCAGAAAGCCTAGCACGGCGATTGACGTGGGCTCTATGCCCATACTGATAGCAGTAACCTCCGTAAGACGATCAACAGACAGGGCGGTCGTCCGACGCAAAAGCGAGTAGGCCAAATTGTTGGAGGGCCGTGAAACAAAGGGGGCCTTCGGAATAGCAAGGGCTGACTGAAGCAGGGACTCCAGACAAATCATGCGATGCTCGGGGGAAAAGTCACGAATGTCCACGTTCAGTAGGTCCTCGACGGTCCTTTTACTCTATCGTGACATGGAGAAAGCGGGCAGTAAAATATAATTTGAAGGTGTGTGGAAGTAACTCCTATTAGAGGAAGCATACCGCTTACATTTGTGAGATACTGGATAAGATCTTCTTCGCAGAGGCTCACAGGCGCAAATCTATTGAAGTCGATCTGTTTTGCGACAGCCCTAGATTTGAATGTCTGTGGCGATTCATTGGTTGATGACCCGTCGCGAGTCGTAGAAAAGGCCAGAGTCATAGATGACGTTCTAAGTGTGGCAGGTCGTATGTTTCGAAATAAACCAGTCAATTTGATCATCTCGGTGGATCCGAAAAGACGGGATACATGAGCGAAGCTACCCATTTATTGCCAACTAAAAAAATAAGATAATTTTTTTTCCATTTTACAGGCCATCAATAAAAGTCAGCCTTAATTCCTAAAAACCAAAAAGTTAGCGTTTTTGAATTAATTCTTTGAACTGCCGGCAGAACCAAAAAGTTCGTACATTTTGGACAGTGTATGTGTTTTCCATTTTAAACTGAATATCAGCAAAACAGCTCTGTACAGAATACCTTACAAATAGTTTGTTCAACTGTTTAGCAGGGGCTAAAAGTCAACAATAAGCAGTGAAAATTCAGCCAGTGTGCAATAAAGCAAATGTGACAGATACTCACCGCTGATCCACCCTCCAAATTACTATAAATGAACCTTCTGGCAGACTTTAGCAATTTTAATATATTAATAAATGTAAACCCTGCCCAAAAAACAGTATAAATCAAGTATGGCCGATTGTCGGCCCTGGCGTTGTGGAAGTTTGACAAGACGCGGAGGTCATGAATTATAAAGACTCATTCAAGCAGTTCGGAAAGCAAAGATAAGTTATTGTTATGTGCTTCACTGAGAATATTACTCTTCTGTTAGAATCTCGTGGAACACATGTCTCTGACTTGGTCAAGGTGCTTATAAACTGGGTCATTATCCTACGGCCCATGTGTGAAAATTTAGTATACAATTCACCGCCGAAACAACTTGGTTAGGAAAACGCCATCAGAAATACTGGGTGTAAGGTAGGGTAAAAGTTAATGGAAGGTATCCACAACGAAATATTGCGTTAACAGACGATAATAATAGCATAAGAACGCCGTTCGTTAGTGTAAAGGGAATGCATTTATCAAGGATATTTCGAATATCAGAAAGTGAAGACATAACATGGGAAACTGGACGAGGAAGAAATTGTGAAAAAAAATATGGAGTTGTTCCAGCAAAGGGTGCTGTCAATATCTTAAACGAACAAACGCTAGTTTCTGGAGTAACCATTTCTGGAAAGAAACCACAAGCGGTATTGTGACCTTCCGGCCTCGGCCAAAACATTTGTGTCTAGGAGAGGTCTCCATCGGGAAAGGCTCTCAAACGCATGCCTACACTCCTTATAACATTCAGTAGCCGAGTGGAGACTCCAGCCTGACTATAATTATTGCCACCATCTTCGAACACGCATTACCAGAAAAATTCAACAGGAAGCAGGTAAGGCCATGCAGGACATATGTCCTGCATATGATATCATATGCATAGTGTTGTTTGCGGAAACAGTGGGTTCGCACACATTCAACCTCTCTAGAAGGATTGAGCATAATTAGTCATGCTCAACCAGGTGCCAATTAAGCACGACGATACCAACGTCATTGCATGCAATCAATGACTTCCGCAAAGTTTTGACCGCTTGTCTAAAAGTACTATTCCACCCCGATCCCGATGTACCAGCGTTCCTACCAAGCTCAAATTTCATCACACACCTCAACCCGCAACATCAATATGAATTATTAACTAAACCAGGAATGCGATCCCCGGCTCACTCACCACCCCTCGCTAACGACAAACGCGAAAGACACACTAACTTTCAGAAGCCCTCGTGGGCCCAATGGTACTCCAATAATCGTACTGATCAAGACATTTTGATGTGCAAGTAGACTATTTCCTTCCTGCCGCAATGAACTGACCTTCTCGTGTTTTTTTTTACGAAGACGAAAAGAAAGAGATACTCAGTCCATAAAATATCGCGATACGTTTACTGTATTGGTTTCCTTAGACCTTCTGTAGACAAAACCTGTGCTCCGTCTTACCCCCGTCGCAGCATTTACTCCTACGTCCCTCGTTTGCCTCATTAACTGACCAGAACTCTATATTCGATGGAATACTTTCCGGCAGACCACAAACTAAAGACCTGTATACTTTCCGCCGCCTATTCTCACGGTCAGGAAACTTGTGAACACATCAGCAACTAAGATATGTAGCGGCCGAGGACGTCAAGGGTAGCACACACCGGAGTAAGGAAACGCCGAGAAGGACTCTTGGCCGGGATAGACCTGAACGGAGCTGTTAGCATTCCTTGATACACATCCATACACAGAAGAAGAAGGCATGTCGAATAAGAGATAAAGTGTAATAATACGAGGTTGCACGGGGAATCGTATAATAATCGTTAATAGTACAAGTAGGACGGTTACATCGGTAGAATGACCTGTCTGGGTGGAGAGACGATGCCAACATGCCAGCTAGTAAACCGGTGGGGAGCGCAGCGCTGGGGGCAACTGCAGGGAAGGGTCGAGGGAGTGCCGATGTAGCGAGGAGGCGAGCGGTTCGGACGATACGTTGCGTTACGGTACGACGAGGGGGAAAGGGATCGGCAGATGAGAGAGGGAGGGACACCGGTTATCTTCACCGACACGCGACTACGCCATCTCCACCCTAGGTCCTCGCGCGGAAAAAATCACCTCATTCGAACAACTCTGTCTAAGTCCAGGGGCGTTACAGATACATGCAAATAACGAGGAACGGCGGGCTTTTGAAATTGAGCCGCCATTTTTCGTTGTTTCCCTCCAGTCACATGAATATTTGCTAATTGCATACCCCAGTCTTATTCCTTTGTTTTAATTTATCTATTACTATGAGGTTGTCTTTACAGTACGCTAGCACCTTTTTAAAGGAGCTTAAACCCTGCGAAATTTCTGCATCGATTTTTCCGCCTCCTGATCATGACTCCAGTGGTTGCACTTTGCGGCCAATTTGTCGTTTCTGCGATTGTCCTGCGTTGGCGTTCTCACGCTCCCAAACGCAACGAACTCACCGTGCCAGCAGCAGTTACACTCTGACAACTTGTCCTGTTTCTCGTCCTTCCTCGCTGGCCTTCCCACGCTCGTATCTGCAAAGGCCAATTTTTCGAAAGCGACATCGCTGTGGATGGCAAGTTGCGCTTAAACGCCAGCCTAATAACAAGTTGTCGATCCCGGGTTTTCTTTCGACTAACTGTCGATCGATATTTAACAAAGCCCATGATTTGGAATTACTTCTGTCAACCAAAGAACATGGCAAAACAGGAGTAATTTGCCTTCAGGAGACGTGGTTGAATAGCCATATTGACTCGGAATTAATCACTCCTTCGACATTTTGCTGTTTTCGAAATGATAGAGCATCTCCAACAGGCAGTAGAGGTGGAGGAGTGGCCATTTTTGTCAAGCAAGACTGGTGTATAAATTGTAAGCCCCTGTTTTCATATTCTGATGATTTAATTGATGTAATTGCTGTTATCTGCAAGCCCCATTTGTTAAATAGCTTTAAGGGTATTATATTTGTCAGTATTTACATCCCCCCCTTCCACAAATGAAGGCTCTCTGGGCCGTTTTTTTGACTTCCTCACACAAAAACTTGCTTCATTATCCTCAGACCATCTTATTCTTTTGTGCGGTGATTTTAACCGTGTGATTTTTCGGCCCATTACCCTTCTGGGTTTTGATGACCTTGTTTCATTCAATACACGGGCTGATGCCCCTCTTGATCACATATTGACCGATTACCCAAAGCTTTTTTGTATTAAAAATAGAGCTCCACTCTCCGGGTCTGATCACTCAGTGCTACTAGGACTTTCAAAAGTCTATTCCACCTCTAAGCGTCAACTGCTTACAAAACCCGAGAGGAAAATTACTGTTCGAGACACATCCGTAGATAAGATCCACTTACTG